GTGGAGAAAAGGGAACCCTCCTGCACTGCTGGTGGGAATGTAGTTTGGTGCAGCCATAATGGAAAACAGTATGGAGAGTCCTCAAAAAACTAAAAATAGACTTACCACATGACCCAGCAATCCAACTTCTGAGCATATATCTGGAGGGAACTCTAATTTGAAAAGATACATGCACCCCAATGTTCATAGCAGCACTATGTATACAATAGCCAAGACATAGAGACAACCTAAATGTCCATCAATAGATGACTGGATAAAGAAGTTGTTTTATGTTTATACAGTGGAATACTACTGTAATGGCTGTAGATAATTCACATGCAGTTTCTTTCCATAATACGGAAAATATTTTAAGTCTATCTTTCTATTGGAAGGATAAGTGGCTAGAACTGCTGTGTTTGCACTCTTCAAAATACACTCTATCCTTGGCTCTCCTTGAGGCTTTAATCCAATTATTCTGTTCATTTTCACAAGAATACAAGGGTTTCCTCTGGAGTAGCCAAACTCGGGGTCATCCACACCATCGCATGCTTCAAGTAAGACAAGAGGAAATTGACTTGCAACGTTAACTGGACCCTTCTGTTCAAACAGTGCTCCATCAGGACAAACTGTGAGATTCTTCAGTTCTTCTAAGTCATATGGCTTTAGGAACTTCTTAAGGTCATCAATGTACCCTTGATAGGACTGTGGATCTGACCTGCTGAATGATTAATCCAACGCAGTCATTGGTTTTGGAAAAACCATAAGTCCTGGACTAGGAATCTGGTCACGGTATTTTGGAACCTCATCATTCAGGGTCTGAAGCATAACCCACATTGTGAACGAAAAGAGTGCCGCCAGGAACCCATAAAAGGTTACGGAGAAGAGCAAGATCAAGCCGCAGCTCTTGGCGGTGCGCCCAGGAACTCCCCAGTGGTCGGACTGTAGATGAAGAGCCTCCACTCGGCCGGGCTTTGGTTGAGGACTTCCCTCGCTTCGCTTCGCCGCGGTGTGTGTGCCGACGGCGAGGGGAGCGGCGGCCGCGGGGCAGGAGGCGGAGGGAACGCGGCGGCGCATCCCGGCTGGAGCGGCGGCAGGCGGCCGGCAGAGGAGACCTCCCGGTTGCCGTGGGCGCTCCAGCCAGTGTTCCACACTTTTTTGTTTTTGCTAAAAAGCGCCTCAAATTGGTTGCATTTTGGTCATGCAGTATAGTGTCCAACTTCACTTTTTGATGTTTCACAGCTGACAGCCTTGAAGTCTCTCCCCTTGCCCCCCCCCCCGTATCTGGGCGCCAGGAGCCCCCTCCTTCACCACTGGTGGGAGTTTCAAACCACACACGCCCCGGCCTGCAGGAAGGAGCCTCGCCCTGCCGCTCTCCCTCTCCGCCGTATAAATTCAAGACTGTCTCCTTTCTCAGCTCCCTCAAGCCATTTTGAGACCAGCTTGACAGTAAGCCCTGCTCTCCCAAGAAAGCCTCATTAGGTAAGTAATAAACTTTTTCATTCCCTCCTGGTACATGTGTGGCATCGCCAGTCTTGACAGCTGAACCGAATTTTGGGTGAGGGTCCATCCTGTTTCTGCAGGATAACCCCAGCAGTTTGAAATCTTTAAGCATTCAACAAATGGGGTACCCAAGCACTTCAGCTTTCAAAAATGTTTAAAGCAGTTGAAATCAAGAGGCTCTGAAGCAGGAAGATATTAATGTATCCCCAGAAAAGCAAAATGACCTTCTTAAATCATAATGTATATGGTAGTCTTATCTGTTGGACATTCCAATGTCAAGGCAGGGAGACGTAGAGTCAAACAGGTGACGCCTGGAAACATAACCTGCCACTCATACAGATTCTCCGTAGTCCCACTGCCTTCCTGCCCCAGGGACTCACCTTGCAGGGAGCCCAGCAGCAAGGACAGGACCACCAGCAGCAGCAGGAGGCTCTTACCCATCTCTGGATTCCGCCCCAGCTCCAAAGATTTGCAAGAGGCAGGACAGAACCACAGTCCTCAAGAGCCTCTGAGATCCCAGACTTATAAATCCAGGCTGGGAGGAGCAGCCAGTGGCCGCCCAGACAGAGGACTGCACTTCCTTCAGCAAACAGGGTGCCTGAAGGAACCTGGGCCCTGCATTCCTTCCAGCATTACTGGCCCTGCTCACCTTTACTGGCCCTGCTCACCTTTACTGGCCCTACTGAGGGAGCCAAGTTATGTAAGAACTGGCTCTTTTCACAGCTGTAACATGGAAGGCTAG